GTAGCTAAAAATAAAAAAGTTAAATATGTATAATTATTAATTTCACCTGTATATTCGTGGCAGTGAAATTATTCGTAAAATTTACGAAATACTGAATGTTTGTACGAAATAATTTACTCTTAGCTTTATTCAGAGACCGCATTTACATCGTCAAAGAAAAAGAAACGTCTAGACGATACACCGCATACCAGAAATTTGCACATTCATCTGCGTTTTATGAGGAACCGGTATACATGAATGAGACAATGAGACCATAAATATGCAGAACGAAACCATGAAGCGAGAACCTTCGATGGGGCCCAAACCAATGACGAAGCTGTATGGTCACGATTTCCCTGTGACAACGTGCGCGTACTTATTCTCATACATCCGGTATCCGGACTCGGAACAATGTCAACGATCGGTGCCAATGAACCGTGTTTGAATTCCACTTTCATTTCTTTGACGCATCGATACCGCGAACTGGCTTTTTCACGACAACGTCATTGAGAATTATTTAGGTCATTTGACGTTATCGAACCGCGTACAGACGATGACAAAAGATATGATAAAAGATCAGATATTATATGGTTCTGACCCGTTACAAAATAGGCAAGGTGAATCCATATCTAGAAATCTATGAATTTAAAAAATGGTAAAAAAAATGGTAAAAAAAAATGGTTCATAATTCTGAATGGTAAAATATAATGCAATGTTGCTTCTATGTAAATATCTTGATAAAGTGATGAACTAAAGCTGATAGCGTAGCGTAGAAAGTTCACGAGATCGGCGTTTAAACGCCGTTTTCAGTTATTATCACCGGATGCGACCGATATGCCTTTGCAGAAAAGATACATTGCACTTGACATCTCATGGCGATGGTAATTTTAGCTCGTTACAAGACATTTACGAGGATACAGCCGGGACCGTTTATTCGTTCGCGAAAAGGAATGTGCATGACACTTACGAGGGATGACTTCCCGCCGCTACTGATTTGTCTACGGTGAAGTTTTCGGTGTGTAAGCTCGTGGGAAAACAGAATTGCTACGATCGGCAACGTTCAAAAGAAACACGTTTTCAATGAACTATAAATAATACACGAAGGTAAAAAGAGTAAAAGAAACTTCTTTTACAAATACATATTTTTATAGCCCCTGCAGAAATTTCAAATTCATATACGGTATTGAGTACCTCTGTAAACTCTTGTCTTTTAGAAGTCGATATTTGAACAGAGAAATAGAACTGCGATAAGAGAGCAAAGGTCAAAGGGCATCGTCAAATCAACAAAATAATCCGGGTTTCTTTTGAACGTTTCCTGTGGAGAATTGCTATTTCGATCCGTGCCACACGTTGCTGTCTAGACCGAACAAGTTATTCTCGGCCCACGCTTTAGTACCATAATAAGCGCGACAAAGGCATTCCTTTGCTGCCATCTGTTAGAGAATGTAGCCAACTACTCGGTTTGATTGACTGTGCTCTGCAGAACCTGCGAGACACCACACGGAAAACAACAGTATTTGTCTGCATTTTGTCGCATGAGCAACTCGCCGGGAAGCGAGCCAATGTTAATTCAAAGCATCGTACCACTTTTCCGTGATTGCCTCGTGGTGATAATCGTCAGCACTCTGGCCACTGAATAGCAGCGCATCGAAACAATAACAATACGCGACAAACAATACGCTTTTGTTTTTCTGTTCTCCTATCGTTTACCGATCGGACTCTTTACATTAAAAAAACTATCAAATCAAACAGTGAATATTTATCAATGTCGAAATTATACTGGCGATATGAAAGTTAGTTATATTGACTAACAATAAAACTTTCACTTACCCATCTCCCTGAAGTCTATTATCGACGACTTGAGAGGGTAACGGAGCCGACAACTGTCTGACCAAATCATCCCATTCCCTTTCTCTCTGTTGGAACTTCTCCTGCAGCCTTTGCTTCTGCTTTTGGTACTCTTTAAACAGGTCGCCGTTATAACTCTGCTCGAGATGCTCTCCACCTAGGGAAGCCCGAACAGGCATCGCAGTAGGTTCCGTGATCTTAGCCGCGACTCCGGTTGGTTTTTCTGCCAAGGAATCTCTTCTCGAACTTCTGGCCGTCGATGGGGCGGGAGATTCTCTGCCTGCAACTCTACGCTCTGGCGTGGAGGCTGCAGAAGGGTCAGCTTTGATACCTAAAATGAGACGCATATAAAAGTATTAAAAATAACAATTTATGACATATTACTGTATTAATAAATAAAAATAAGAATAGGTAGGCTTACCCTCGGGACTCTTCGATTGTCCTCTCGTCCTCGGCGGAGCTTTTGGCTGGCTGTTGGTCGTTGTTTCTTGTATAGAAGGCAGTTGCTGAAATTCAGCGTAGCTCGAGCTAAGAAAGACGTCACCCTCGTTCTCAAAGAGTCTGTCCACGCTGGTATTCATTAATTTGTTATTCTTAAAACCGGTTAGATGAAAGCTCGCGAAAGATGATCTTGACATCGGGTTTATATCACCGGTAGACAAAGCCATTAGCGCCGCAGATGGTATCGGCGTATTTTTAGGCCCGGGACTCCTTGGTCCAAGCCCAGCTTCTAAAGCGGGCACTAAACTTCGTGACATCATGTCAGCCGCGGATCTTGGCCTGGTGAACGGCATCGCGCTATGCGGGAAGGTCTTCGGCTTTATAGGGGTGATCAACATGTGTTCCGTCCAGGAGGTCTCCAAAGATGGTCTCTCGAGCCGTTCCACATCCACGTTTAACGTTCGTTGAGCGAAAGGTACGGCGAACGTTTCCGGCGGTATACTTTGTAGCCAAGAAAGCAGACTTAAGTCAGAATCACTGAAACCTACTGAGCCGTCTAACAGTCTGGAAAAATTCATTTCCACCTGTAATACAAATTTATATCTTAATTATCGTTAATTATCTTTAAACTATAAAGGAAAGTAAAGTTAATATATATCTAATAATATCTACGTACTTCAAGTACAAATATAAATATTACTCGAAGTATCTGTCCTAGTATTTCAAATAAAAAAGGTAATCGGATTAAAGATAAAATGAAAACAAATGTTACCTGTTCGCTCTCCTTCGAGCCTGTAGCTTTAGCCTGACAATAATTAACGCAAGACTCATACAAAATGCCCTTGATGATCAACTGTATGAGCCGATCGTTTTTCGCGGAGGTGACGGGATGAGCAGGGTCGGTGCTCTTTCTGTCGCCAGGCAGAAATTTCTCAACCAACGGATGCACCTCGCGAAAGCACTGAACTCTGGCATTGCTAGGATTCCAGTCCTTATATTGCAAGTGGTCCGTGAGTCGCGGTAGCGTTAGCAATAGGCACAAGCTGCTGTACTCTTCTTTCGATGGCGCGACCTTCTCGAGGTCGCTCAAAACCTTGACAACCTCTTCGACCGCATTGTCGACACTCCCGTTTGTCCCGGCGGCGATCAAGTTCGCCTCGGACTTGATACAAAGCAACTCCACGTACTTGTGCCTGAGGATCGAGTAGGTGAACTTTCTCATATCGAAATCCGGCAGCGCCTCCAACGGCTGAATGAACTCGAGCACGTCGTCCCATTGTCCATCGAGGATCAGCTGACGAAGGAACAGGACGTCGTCGCTGTACTGACCATTTATCACGCCAGTTTCTCGTTCCAACGAAAGCTGCGAGATGTGAAGGTCACGGCTGTGGAGGAACTCCAAGGTTAGTCGTACCACATCCTCCTCGCGCAGCGTCAGGTGCGCCGCCGGCATCACGTACCGAATACGCAACCTGGACAGTTTCCAGAGCAGAGAATTACAGCCTCGACCTTTTGTATCGAGCGTGACGAGTTACAAGAAATTTCATTGATAAACGGTCGAATGAAATACGGCTCGACAATTTCGATGATATTGTGACATCTACCAATTTTATGCAGCTTGCATATATAGGTTATATCTGTACATTATATTGAACCAAGGGAAAAAACGATTTTCTGTTAATACAAAAACAAAGACCTACATATAGATTATGTGAGTCGAGAATGTGGGTAGGTTGATATCGAAATTGTTTTGCTCAATGCTAATTTTGCGGTCGATAATACTAAGGTTCAACGCATCACGATCTGATTCACCGGGATTGCTGTTCGAACGATACGTGTTATTGCAAAACTGAGTAATGTTACGCTCGTAAGGAATGTGCGAAATCCTTGCTTTTATAAGTTCGTTGCACTTCGAGGCCACCGGCCCTGCTGACACGCCCTGATTGTCGCACGAACTGGGTGGATAGATTCGGACGTTGATTTGCTATTCCCCTACTAAACTACTCTTTCCTGTGCGTGAATATTTCAAACATAAAATCGCCCGCGTTTGCTTCCGTTTGTATATCGTTTCGATGTTTCTAACTCATAGATTCACCGGTCAGACGATGAAATCGCACGAGTTGCTTCTTGAATGAAATATGCACAGCGGGAAGGCTCGGAAACGTTTAGTAGATTGGAACGATGACATGGATTTACACGAGGGCCGTTATTATGCGGCCACCATATGACGATGATATTCCATTTCGTTGCAAAATCCTACAGACTCGATGCAGCAGGGAGAAACTTGATATTTCGAGCAACCCCGTAAAATCTCCTACTTTATATTCCTCTGGAAATCTCTTTCTATCCAACTTGCTGGGAATCGAAGCGCAAACGACGTTGGCGGAGAATATGGGTATGAGGAAAATTGTTATCGACTGCCTCCATATGGTGCCGAAAGTTTCTTTCGAAGCGGCTCTTGATCAAAGGGTGTGAATTACGAGATTTGTATTACTTCACCGACCAGATGAAATACGACGAAACGAAAGGTGATTTCTATGGCTGAAAGATTTCACCAAAAATACATTTTTATTAAAAATATATATATATAGCATATGAAATCGCGATGAAAGCAGTACAGGTGACAAGCGATATATGAATTTCGTAAAACAGTGACCCATAAAAATCTTCTGCGAATTTGCTAAATTTCACAAGTTTGTAACATGCTGGCTTGACAAAAGTGCGTGCCAGACGAAATACATGACATCAGCACCTTCGTCCATTAATTTATGTGTCTTTAAAGCCCGCTGCGCAGATTCGATCGAACTGTTGAACGATCAACGGTAAAGTACAACAATGGGACAATTAACGATGGTAAGATCGCAATAATTGACGTTTGAAATCGTAATATGTACACTAAATTATAAAATATCACGCTCATACTTGATAATATTTGATTTCAGTTTTTAATGGCTATTTTCCTAGTCCATTATGCGTTTGCTGACATTATGATACAACCTGGATACGAACATTCACACTCTACACAGAAATCAGATTTGGAGGAAGAACATCAGCCCATAATTCAACCTCCTGAAACTCTTCCAAATTCAGAAGACAAAGGCCATGAATCACATCCTCAATCACACAGTCCACGCCAATTAGTACAACAACAGGGATACATGGATCCAGGGTATCATTTGGAACTTTATCCAGTGTATTCGGATTCATACCATGTTCCCGCTCAAGCATTGTCGCCGATGTTTCAACATGTAATATTGCCACCTATGTCAAGAACTGCTTACAGACGACTGCTGTCTGATATGAATAGCTACGGATCAGCAGGAATTCCCGGAGCAATTCTACCTTATTATCAATATCCTCCTATAGTGAGCACGCAAAGTTCATTATTACTTTCAGCACTGTCTCCTGTAATTATCGATTAACCGATCATTTTTTTAGGCAGCACACAATCGATACAGAAGATCTAATCCAAGCGAAGAACCCGATGGAATACAAAGGGGTGAACACGATGATGTGGCCACGAAGTCGCCCTTAGATGATTCGTTATCGGTCGTTGATTTGCAAGATCAAGAGAGTAAGATAATTATTTTCAAGTACAATATTAGTGTTACATGTGGAATGTTGGCTAGTTGAATGATACAGATACTCTGATTCTTGGACGTATATATGTATAGCAGAATTTCAAACGAAATATTAGTTATGACCTTGTTCAATGAATTCTTATCGATTTCACTTACATATCTGGTCGTGAGCTCCTATTATACGAATGAAAAATCATAAAAAGAGAAAGAATCGGTGAACTTTTATGATATGCATTACAGCTATGTGAATTCTACTACAAATGATCCATTTGCAAATGTGATCATTTTGACCAATGACAAAAATATATTCGCCCCATTTTTCAAATTATGTTATAAAAGATAGCCCTATTATCTACTATATTACCTACTATATCAATTAGACTTACATATCTTTCACTATCCAACTTTTCACCTATGAATAATCTTCATAAAAAATCGCAAATAAATTCTATCAAATAATGATGTTTCCACAGAGAAGCGCGTGAATACTCGTCAGAGTGTTTCATTGTTGGGCTTGAATCCATCGAACATGTATCCTGTGCAGCAACAATACCGTTCTGTGGAATTGAAACCATCCTATGATCCCCATCAACAAATACCAGCCGAAATAAAACAAGAAATGCCACAAGAAATGCCAATTGCTAGTCCTATAAAAACCACGAGTTCTTTATTAGCCAACAAAGATCTTCATCACGCATTATTATTGCAACAAACTTCCCCCCAAAAACAGCAACAGAGAAATTCCGGATTGGTCTCTGCTTCCGTTCAATCGTCGCCAGCTGATATCGTGGGAAGTCAGCGCGAATTTAAAATTTCCACGGTAAGAATTTTTGTTTTATATACACACAATGAACCATACAAAAATTGTTTCATACAAAGAACTGTTAAATTCTAATGACTTTGTATACGTTCATTGCGGATTTGATCTTATTATTACTAAACCAACTAAACTAGAACTACGAATATTTTTTTTTTTCTATTTTTACAAACGCAACAGAAATCTATTCCACTTACTGAATGTCATAAGAGATACTATACTTTGATTAGTTCGTATTTTTATCGTATTTTTTTTTTTTTTTTTTATTTTAGGAATTATGTCTTTAAATCTCGCATAAATCATTCATAGTCCATTCATTATAAATAATTTTCCAACAAATAATATTCATATACAATGCCCGTTACTATTATTGTATAACTTTAAATTGTAAAATATTTTTTCACATTTTCGTGATTTTGCATCGCGTCTTACATAACGTATGTGATATGCATAATCTAAAAATATGTACTTTGACTCGGATCATGATAAGATATATCGTAATTGATAAACGTGTTAATTGACAAAGAGTAATGGATATGAATTTATTTGCAAATACCTGAACAGGAAAAAGCTGATAATCATAAGGATCAAGTGGGCACGAAGCTGGGGGATATCTACAAAATAAGGGTGCACCAGCACGTGCATAACCACGGGAAATTCAAGGATAATATGTCAAAAGAAAGTTACAGCATCACGATTCCTACTAACGCGCACCACGACGCTGAGCCATCGAATAATTTAACACCGATACAGCCCGCTGCAGAGCAAGTTTATAGTAAGCCAACTGACCTGGGGACAAATTATTTGCCATACACTCAGTACACCGTTGCACCTCAATCTTATCCTGTTAGCGATTTCGGTAATTATGTAGGTAATTATGTTTGGTCATGTCCCTATTCGCCATACAGAATTTGTTTCGATACCAATGATATACAACAACCTGTCGTATATCAGTTAGCTTAAATGAATCTCGACTTTGCAAATCAAACGACCACGCAATTTAACTCTACAGCTATACTTTTTGGATTTTGTATAAAATGTTTATATCACGATATTTTATATTTTTTCACGGATATTACACGTCAATTAAGCATCTATCGAATATATATGTAAATTTCATCGTTCTTAATCGATGATTAGATGGACATTTTTCAATAAACGTATAACCATAAACGCCGTCAAGTTTATTAAAAGCTTCCCTACCCATAAAGTGTTACATCTCGTGCCGTTAACAAGGAGGCTGCACATAATCGAACCTTAATGCTCGTCTGCCAACCGGATCTCACTATCATCTCATCAATCGCTTAATCACGGAACTAATTCGAAAATACGTCTATCACTTGACACCCCTCTCGTCAATATTTATTAACTTGTCGGTTTTACGCAAACATTTCCAGAGAAATAAGAAACAATTTTCCTCAATGATCCACGAGCTTTCGCAGAAAGCCAAAGATTACCTTTCATTCCGGTTCGTTTACGGTTTCTTGACTCAGCTCGTTTCCAGATCGCGTAAGATTTCCCTGCCATTAACTCGACTATTCCTTAATTAGTATATTAACGCTGAAGACGGCGAACTCTCGTCCAGGACACGTTTCACAGCCCGGACCGTGCAGCAGCGGTTGCGGCTGCGAGACAACCGAGCGACTGAACGAAAATTCAATTTCGGACAATTTGCCGGCAGCGTTAATTGACCCGAACAGAGAGGCGAGAAGTATGGCCGGTGCACGACGAGGGCATCGAGTGTCTGCAACCGGAAAAGGAGGGCAAACACTGATCGAGCAATTTCTGATTTCTCGCTCGGGACCCGAACTTTCGAACCTTGTATCCAACCCTTCCGCCCTTCGTTCATCGTGAAATGTAATTTCTTCGAAGCTGCGAAATTTCAACAGTGTTTGCCATTCGTTACGCTCATCGAAAGTGCAAGCGACGAGATAAGGAAATTACTCTGTGTAACGAAGTTCGGAGACGTGCCTCGGAGAATACACGGGCTATGCAGATGCACTCCAGCGATTACGGGCAAGCGGATAGGCGAGGCGAGAACGTGAACCGGGGATAAATTCAGCATTTACGAGCGAGCTTCCCGTCAGCGCGTTCAGAAGCAGGACGGTGAAGGACGAGCGGGAACGAGCAAGTTTTTGGAAAGAGAACGTTTCACGGGCGCCCAGGAGATTAATTTTCACAAGGAGAGTTGCGGCTACTTCTTGCCGTGCAGCCACATTTAATTTCCCTTTAAATTGTGAAACTTGGGGAGAATTGGAAAAAATCACATGCCATGGCTTCGTAGTTGTCGTATAATTCGCGTTGTCGATGCGGTAGTTTGAAAGGTAAAAGTTACAATCGAGATTGGAATAGAAGAAATCATACTTTTATTCGTCGATCAAGTCCGTGAGATTTAATGGTCGGTTTTAACGGTTGAATCTAGCAATCATACAATGTTGCGCGAATAGAGGGTATCTGTCTGTTTCGCGGACAAGAGTACGATGTCTGTGCTATGAATAGATGTTGCAGTTGACAACGAACAACGGTTAGGTATTTTTACGAAGCCATATCGTCGATCCTTTTATTTGCAATTTTTCAGCTTCGAGACTCGAAAAAAATTATAAAGAATTGCCAGTGAAAGGGAGCCAAAACGATAATTATTCAAAATCGACGACAGTGCAGCCGACTTCTTTTTTTTACTTTGGTGGAATACGATCAACTTTATTGAGATAAAAAATATGAAAGTCCAAAAAGTACAAGGTCGATGTAACTTAATTTAGTTTCGGAAAAGAGAAGAATACTGTCAAACGATGAAATTAATTAAGAAAAACGATCGAATAATCATTGACGATTCGTGTTATACTTTAAAATGGTCGTAAACCCACGTTGGAAACGCGATGGCAATAAAAAGATGGCGAGACGTTTAAAGTGCACTGTAAAATTACAAAACACAGAACGTAAAACGCGGTATAATTTTAGCCACGGGATTATCGGTGCTTCGAGGTATATAATTTAAACTAAATTTTTCAGCATTGTTCCGCTTACGTTTCAGCCGGCTCCGTCACGGGTTTACTCGGCTTTCGTTACCAGGCAAACAATTCGACTTCAATTTCGTTTTAATTACGCCGTGATCCTTGTATTTCGATCTCAAACGAGCAATTTTACTATCGACGATAGGACAGGTTATACGAATCCACGTGCTTTTCAAACGAAGCGGATTTTGTAGAAGTTTGAAAAAGCTGAAGCTCACAGCTGTTGGTCCTTTTTTTGCTACAAATCTTTTGAAAATTCCATTTATACTTTAACGAGTTTGTTCACAGAGGAAAAGCTCTCTTTCTATCATGTAGAACTCCATAGGAACTCTTGTGGAACTGTGTGATAAGTCATCTTTATTAATCCCTCTCTTTCTCTCCTTTTTATGATCTGAATGAAGAGATATATATATAATTGAATTTGATTTTCAAAGAAAAGGTAGTGAACGAGAAACCTTATATAAAGAATTCAGTAGCGAACTAAACGGTGATTACATCGGAATATAACGTTGTGTGAGAGTCAATAACCAGACACGATTGTCGATAATGGGTAAATGGAACGAAAGTTTTACCGATGAAAGTTTTTGTTTTTTTATAGCCATCGGTTCTTAGTGTACGTAATTCGCTGCGCAAACCAAGCAGCGCGCTACCAGTTATTCATAAACGTTGACCGTATACTTATTAAAATGACTAATTGATACGAAATCGATGGGGAAGTGCGTTTATTGAGCGGAAATTGCGAATCGTCCACAAATTGTTCCACCACGTTTACCGTCCTATAACGACCTATGCAAACTCATCGTTATTCTCGTAACAAGTGACTCTAAACGACTATAATTAGATACTAGTTAAGGGGAGTCGGCATTTACCAAACAAAACTACCGGTCGATATTTCGTTTGCAAAAGAACAGTGAGTAACAATGGCACGTATTTCGATACACATATACGGCCTGCCGTTGTAAATGCGTCCAATTGTTATTTGTTTTCAAAACAGTAAATGTTCAATATGATCAAGATCGATATATTATAATCTTTATAAAACAAGATTTGTGAATAGACACGCGAAAAAACACGAAGAGCTTCATCTATGATATATTGTACATAGAAGATATACAATTTCCAGTTCCAAAAAATATAATATTTATAAAATTTCAATGGAAGGGATACTGCGATAAAGAAATAGCTATACTTTCCAGTAATTTGAATAAACCAACAACAACCAACCGAAGATCAACCACAATCAAACCACCTTTTCAAGCGTGTTATAAATTCATAGTCAACTAATATCCATAATAATAAACTTTACCACGTTTAAATATTCCCTACAAATAAAATTTTAATATCGAAGCTGCCTCTTTATTATTGCAAACTTTTTAATTCCCAAAAGGTAAAATTTCCAGACGCAAATATAGCAGAGTTTTCAAATGCAAAAAAGTACAGAAAATCGATACTATCAAATATTACAAGCTTGGTGTAAAAAAGGTTTTCCTACCAAGGCCAACATATGGAGCAGTTGTTAGACTGATAACGAAAGTAAAGAAGAAATGAACACGCCGCTGAAAGGAAGAAAAAATAGAGAAACGCTCTTTAATTTGTATTCTTGAACGAAGGTAAAAACAGGTCGGTTGTATGGAACGGTTCTGTGGCTCGCGAAGCCCATTGCCCCTAGCCAAGGAGCAAAGACACAAAGAGCGAAGTTTGAAAATCTCTCGGTGGCTTTGAAAGCCCGGTCATTCCTCCATCTTTTCGATGCCGGCTGGCGGCGTTTAATGCCAGAGTCAGTCCACGATCCTTTACTATCGGTGTTTCTCGGCTCCTCGCTGCGTTCGTAATTCCGGCTTTCAGACGTCCAGACGGCCACCGTGACACTATTACGTATGCGCGATTCAAATGTCCGATTAATTTATTCGATAACATTCACGGAGAATCGATATGCGTGTGCCTCCTCTCTGATTAATAAATCCATTAATAAAACGCATAGACGATCCAATGAAACGTCAGAAATTTCATTTTTTTCGATAGTTAGATTAGACATTCTTCGTGTAAATATAGAAATTTTATTCTTGGGTTTCGTCTTATAAAATCATATGCTATGTCGTTTCACGTAATTACAAATATACGATCGAAACGTAACCTGATCGTGCAGTAATCTTTAATTAAAACCGATTCACCAAAACTTTCACAACTTCACAAACCTCGTGTCTTCAGGTCAAAACTTGTCTCTAAGTATTCCACTCATTCTCCAGGATATTTCGTCAGAAAGTTCGTGTAACAAAGATACGATGCTAGTGGCTGCGTCTTATCTACCGACACGATTTATACCTGGAAGCTTCGAGCAGTCCGAGTTCTTTTAAAACACCACACGTATCTATCTAGCACCGAAACCATATACTCGTAAAACTCTCTGTTAAAATAATTAGCCTGTTTCTCGAGTCATCTTGAAATAAGGTGGATAGCTTGGTTCTCCTAGTCACGGAATATTACAACGATGTGGACCAACGGCCTCGGACACGACGTCGGACACGGTTCGATTCGGTACGTTTACCTGCATGAAGCGCCATAGCGATTTATAGAAGGGTAGTATCCGGTCTCTTCGTGGTTCAAAGCCGTGTGGCGTGCTTTCTTCATACTGGTGCACGAGTAAAGGAACCATTACCCGGCCTGTAATGGAGGTATTCAAGCAGCTCACCTTTGACCCGAAAGCTCGTGGTACCGGTGCGCGTTTACTCAAGAAGATAGCCAGCCGATGACAACTTTTTCCTCCTTTTTCACGCGACACGAATTCCTCGAGAAGGCTGCCGCCTCCGGGAAATCTCGAAAGCCTCGTTTAACCGGATGAAGACGGTGTGTGTCGTCACGAGACATTCGTTTCCTTGTAAATCTCACTGCGCGTTTACATTAACGGTTGCTAAATAAATGCGTGTCGATTACGAGACGAACAAGACGTGAAACTCGTTGTTGCATGCGTGTCACTCGCGTGATTAACACGTTTGAGAGTTTCCTATTTTCACGATGTCTTCGATGGAAACAGAATTTCCCCACGATGAGTTTGACTTTTTAAGAAAATCGATGTGCTATCGCGGATCGCCTCGAACGTTCTCGAGCTACGTTGGATGCAAATAGGTTAATCACTTTCGAAAGACTGAAAGCGAGCCAAATCGG